GGCAAAAGATATGATAGGGTGGAAGAAGTTAGAGGGGGAGGAAGAAGAGGAAGGGAGACGAAAGAGCCTTCGCCTGGACGAGGGCCGCATATTAGCATAATAAAATTGTATATACATTGGATTGTATTGTATTGTTCTTTTAATTATAATAAAAATTTATTTGCAAGAATATGGTACAAAAATGTTATGGTGGTACAATCTAAAGTTCGCATATTCTGCCTCACATAATGGCGTGCAAATTTGTCTTAAAAGGAATTTTACATAGAAGATACATACATTATGGTCAATCCTTATATTGTTTGTAGTTATTACATTATTAAAATATGTTATAATGCTATCAAATATATTATATATTGTGTGTAGATCATGTGGATAAATAAATATGTATTATTATATTTTTCATGCAGAAAATATTAACGCGTTAGATTTAAATACATACAAATTTAAATGAACAATTATTGAACTTGGAATCTACTGACGTCTCTGACTTAAGACTTTTTAGTAGACTGAGATAAGATAGAGTAAAACTAGAAGTAATAAAAGACTTGAAAAAGTTTAACTTCTAGTAAAATATTTAAATAGAAATCGACAGGACACATTATTAGAGAAGTTAAAGATAAATTAACAAAAAAAGCGACGGAAAGGCTTCTTCCCTATGACAAAAGAAAACGAGGAAGACAAATAAAAAGATGGGAAGATGATGTGCGAAGAGCAGCTGGCCCTATGTGGCTACGTACAGCTAGAAACAGAGAAGATTGGAAGCCCTCAGAGGAGGCCTATGTCCAAGGACAAGCTGTATAACAGAAATTAACTGTTTAAAGAAAAACGCTTTTTACCGGATTAAAGTTATGTTTATTATTATAAATTTACAACTATTTGACATAATTTTAAATTTATCCGACGTTTCGCGTGCTTTACAGCGTGCGTGGTCACGGTGTGTAAAGGTTATGTTAATCAAAGACAATACTAGAAATTAACTGGCTTGCCGATTAATTTTTAGTGTTTATAGTACTTCAAATTTTTATGAACTAGACGTAACTATTTTATAGCAATAAGGCCCATTATCTTAATATATATATAAATTACGTGTCACGTTGTTTGTCCGCTATGGACTCCTAAACTACCGAACGGATATCAATAAAATTTTCACACCGTCTGTAGTTTTATCCAACTTAAAATATAGGATAGCTTACATCTCAATTATACGCTGAAGATGAGATGGCGCTGTGTTGAAAGTACCAACGTTTCACATAAGCTACAATTTAATGGCATAGCCACCAAAAAAGCATGGTGATCCCCATGACTGTTGTTATCCTGCCGTTTCCTTTGAATAGTTTACTACTATGTAATAATAACAAAAACCTTAGCCACAGCAAGGCTTGGCCGAGTCTGCTAGTTAATATATATATATGAGGAAACCGACATGCCTTAGACCTAATTGGGCGCGTGTGTCAGGCACAGGTGATACTTTACCAATGGTCACGAAAAATGTACAAGAGGTTGTAACTTGTTAATATAAATAAATAATAATCAATTTTAGTATATAGATTTCACTTCTGCGTATATTTGGAAAAATTCCAACACTTAAATTAAATTAAGTGATAATTAAATAATCCCTTTAATTATTTATAAATGGTTTCACTGATTTTAGCAGCACGCACATATTTACATCACGCTAGCCGGATTTTACGTACCAGAATTTGTAGAATTTTCTAGAATAGTAATAATAAAGCCTTTTTTATTATATCCTTAGACCTTAACTGAAATTTTCAATTTTGTTAGGTTTACTTATAGCTAAATGTTAGTAGTTATTATAAATTAGTGATTCTAGAATGTTTAAGAATTGTATCTGTGGGTCTAGTCTCGATTTTGTATCTGTAATAAATGCCAGTATTTTAGCTATATCAGTAGAACTAGTAGCATGTATAGGATAATTGTTATACACAGTAACAAACATATTAAATTTCAAGGTTTCCGGTTGACAGCTGTCAATGTCAATAGTATTTGACAGTACAATGTACTACTCATTTGTCATTAGACTGTAACAAAGTGACAACAAAGAGTTATTCAAAACAAAACGTCAAGATAAAAAACAAAACATACACCTGTATCACCCACACTCAAGTCAGTACACAATTACTCAGGTCTATCATTAAGCAGTGTTCATGGCCTCGGTGACCATGGGACTTTTTAAGAGCATTAACAGCCAGTACATTAACCGCCTACTTAGTTGTTTAGTTTTTTACAAGAAACTTCTGTAAAGTGCTTTGTTCAGCTTAGATTTGCGAACGACAAATGTCTTACTATAGAAAATATTATGAACACAAAGCAACGCAAATCAAATATATATCAAATCACATAAAGTATTAAATTGTCCACCATTAATACCTCGTCATTGCCTTTCCCGCCAAATCGCATCACAAACCATAGAGCATCACATAGAAATTTGACATTTATTTAAATGATTCTAATCCTTGGCGGCCGGATGTCTTTGTTCTGGATGGAATTATAGGATGAGCTCTGGTATGGGATGCTACTTGTGTGAACACGTTAGCCCCGTCTCACCTCCCTGAGACAAGCAAAAAAGCTGGGGCGGCCGCAGAGCAGGCGAAAAATAATAAACAGCTTAAATATAAAGTCTTTCCTCCAACTTCGATTTTGTTCCCTTTTTAAATTGGTTTTTCTATTCATTCATTTTTAATTTTTAATATTTTGATTTTTGACTATGCAGGTTAAGAATATTGTAAATAGTTTAAGTTTTCATTATAATGTAACAAGCTAAGAATATACATATTACCAGTGATAGCGGTCAAAATATAATTTAGCTTATTACTTTTTATGTTTCGTTAATCTATTTAAAAAAATGGTTATTGCATAAAAACTTCACTTCTATATAAACGTTCGTCAATTATAAGATTATTCACTTCGCAATCCTACATCTAACTAAAATTATACATATAAACAAACAATTACACTAAATATATAGCCAAAAAACGATTCAGTACATTTAAATAAAATAAAATAAAATATGTTTATTATGGAACATAAGATACATGTATCACTTATTCCACGTCATTAAATTTGAAGGCATCCCTACTCATCGGCAAAGAAGACAGAGGGTGTAGGCCGAGAGAAAAAGCCGGCGTAAAAAACTCTCGGTACTCTTTTAAAACAGCAAATCATCAAACAACACTTATTTAAAACAAATATCGCAAATTGATTAGAAGTAGCCTGTCTAGCACTAGTCCCAGGCCCTTTTATCAACTAGATAATCGTTGACTTTATAGTAAGCCTTTTTACACAGCTTTTCTTTAATACATTTCTTAAATTTATTGAAAGGCAGTGATAAAAGAGCCTCTGGGATTTTATTAAAGAAGAGTATCCCTTTCCCCAAAAAAAAAACTAAGTAATACCTAATTTGGCTGTGATGTGTGATGGTATAGAAGAGAGGGTATGTACGTGAAAGTGTGTATGTGCTCATGATGCAGATGATTTAGCTCTATGGATATCCTTAATACTAATTTTAATCATATTCCGCGAGAGCTTAAACAAGTCACGGCATAAATATTGGTCGTTGTATGTCCGGGCAGCGACGACGCAGTAGTGTTGGCCTAGTGCCTTCTGCGTGCGACTCTCATACCTGAGGTCGTAGGTTCGATCCCCGGCTGTGCACCAATGGACTTTCTTTCTATGTGCGCATTTAACATTTGCTCGAACGGTGAAGGAAAACATCGTGAGGAAACCGACATGTCTTAGACTCAAAAAGTCGACGGCGTGTGTCAGGCACTAGAGGCTGATCACCTACTTGCCTGTATTAGATTTAAAAAATGATCATGAAACAGATTCAGAAATCTGAGGCCAAGACCTAAAGAGGTTGTAGCGCCACTGATTTATTATTATGTCCGGGCTGCGCGATACAAAACTCAGTTTTAATGACTATTAATTTAATATCTCTTATGATATGTTGTATTAAGTTAATGAATTCCTAGAAGGATTCCAAAGAAAAACCAAACAGGAAAACTTGAAATAAATGCATCGTTTTGTTTTGTATCGCTTTGAATCTAGATATTCTGTATCACATTATATTACCAAAGGGTTATTGCCTCATAGTAATTACATCGTACGATCAAGCAAAAAATTTACCAGTCACTGCTATAAAAACTTTGTGATTCGAAACTTACCGACCTATACTATTAACATTAAGTACTTGACAATGGGGTGTAAGCCAAAACAGAGAGACTGAATGTCCAGAAAGATTTGATAAGGATCGGTAAATTCAACTATGCAGTTGGAAAATAGGAAGCAAGAAATGTATTGTTAAAATATTGTCAATATACATAAATAATTTATAATTTAACCTAGCTTCAAGATTCAAGATTCAAAGCCTTTATTTCAACTAATACAAGAGAAACAAACATGTAAAAATGCATATAAAAAAGTTCTTTAAAAAGGTTTTGTTGCACAGCTGTCCTCTTGTACAGCTTGCCTTTGTGGCACAAAGGCCTCCTCCAGCTGTTTCCAGTGCTTCCTATCCCTGGCAATTCTTTGCCACAGAGGACCAGAGGCTTTTTTAAAGTCATCAGCCCACCACGCACATGGTCTTCCTCTCTTTCGCTTGGTGTTGTAGCGAGGTGTCCATTGAGTGACTTTTTTCGACCATTTTGCTCTCTGGCTAACCTAGCTAATAAATACAAAAAAAAAGAACAGTAAAAACAATACAAACAACAGTAAAAACAGGACAACCCCTGTATTTGCAGGCCGCACCAGCTCTCTTGTTGGTTCCATGTAGATGGAAAATTAAATTACATATGTAACACAAATTACGTTTAGTAAACTGTTGAAATTCCACGAATTTTCCATAAGTATCAATTTACATTCTAGTTTTATTGCCTTGATTTTGAAACAGGCAAAGATATTCTTAGTTTTGGATATATCAGAAATATTAGATCTTAATCAAGCACATTCTTTTGTTTCAGTCGCGAGTAGCATGGCCTGAAAGCATGTTCCGAACGGCGTCAGTCGAAGGCTCCGGCCCCAGGACGCCGCCGGCCTACGCGCCCCATCCACCCTTCGTCCCACCCCGGTTCTTCCCGCCGCGAATCCGGCCCCCACCGCCCCAATACTGCTTTGACGCTGCCCGTTTCGCCTGCGACGCGTCCAAACCGCGCTACCTGGACGTAGAAAGAGAGAGGCTAGTTACCCGATGGCTGGCTGAGGCCAATGAAGCCCTGGTGCGCCGAGATAGGCCTCCAAGGTACAAGCCACGCAGCAGCGAAAGGCGCCTAGAATACCTGGACAGAAGACCGTCAGAATGGGCGGATAACTTTCTTCTGGGCCGACGCAATGGATCCGTCGAACCCGAAGAGGAAAGTGAATCTATGACTTTGAAAGAATTTGTGGATAAGTTCTCTCTCCCCCGTGTGGTTAAGCTGGAAGGGGAGGAAAGGGCTGTGTTGTTGTATCGTGTGTTGGAAGCTCATAGGCGCGTGGAAGCTGTGCCACTGTCAGGGAAGAAAGGGAAGCTGGTGGGAAAGCCGCTGTATATTCCTGATTCGTATGATGGTAAGTGCTTTTTTTACGTAATAATAATAATAAGCCTTTTTATTTCCTGTTTTACAATATTTGGTAGTTGCTATATTACAGTACGAAAAATATTGATTTTATAACAGGAAAAAAACAGGAACGTCGGTTCCTGTTTTTTTCCTCCAAAGGCCTCGTCCAAAGATGCCCATTTTTGTCGGTCTTGTGCTGTGGAGTGCCAGCTGATCTTTTCAGATCATCTTCCCAGCGGTCTAAGGGTGTCCCCTTCCGACTCTTGCCTGGTGGTCCTTTCCATTGGGTAACTCGTTTGGTCCACTTTCTGCTAGACATTCTAGCTACATGGCCAGCCTAATGCCATTTGCCACTACACATATGAAGTTTTTTATCTTTTTTACGAATTTAGGTATAATTGTTTTGGATTTAGAACTACAAATTTAAACGCGTTGGATCCACAACTAAGCGTTTTTTGGGGCTTTTTTGTCGTGCACCGCCGCTATGACACCTCTTTTCCGTTTGATTATTTGACGTCGTATAAACAATTATATAGTTCTTATTTTGTTGACCTCAAAATCAAAAACTACTGTGAATTAACACCCAAATGTTACGTAGAAAATTTAAGCAACTTCCGCATCTTATCACACAACAATAGAACACAGTACAATAGAAGTACTTCTGTACTTTAATCATTTTGTCATTACCAACGACACTGACGTAATCCTAATGAAGCTTAATGACCGTTCTTATCGCATATTCAAAGTTATTACTTAATCATAATAAAAAAATCAGTAGCGCTACAACCTTTTTAGGTCTGGGCTTCAGATTTCTGACACACGCTGTCGACTTTTGGGTCTAATTTAACATTTCCTCGCGATGTTTTCCCTCACCGTTCGAGCGAATGTTAAATGCGCACATAAGAAGTCCACACAGCTGGGGATCGAACTTACGACCTCAGGCGTCGCACGCTGAACTGCCCAATACTGCTATTAGCTTTTCTTAGCTGAAAAAGTCTAACTTCACATAAAAAAATTGCTTTGTCAGCTCTTGAAATTAGATATAATAGTATAAGATCCCGATATACAACGACCTTCACCGAGATGCTTATTTAATGAAACGTATTTTATATTTAATTTAATATGTCAATAAATATAATCCATATGGGTTGCCTAGCAAATTTCAATCCAGAGTATTTTAATTAATATTAAAAAGATATATATTTTTTTTATAATTTGAATGTAGTTTTTTAATTTTTTTCAATCAATATTTTTAATCAGGGTAGTATTATATATGTATCACTATAACTTTCTTTTTTACTAAAGATGTATATATACTTTAGTGTCACATAAAAAATATACTCATAAATAATTAATTGATTAAAAACAACCTAACGTTTGCATATTCTATGGGCTTCATACTTTCGATTGGTATAGAATTTATCTAATAATCATACCGGTGAAATGTTTACAAAAATATTTTTTTTTAATATTAATTAAAATACTCGTGACTGAAATTTGCTAGGCAACCCATATGGATTATATTTATTGACATATTAAATTAAATATAAAATACGTTTCATTAAATATGCATGTCGTTGTATATCGGAATCTTAGACCATAAGTTTTATTGACGTTCTAAAATAGTGCCCTAGTGCTTGAGTTATATTTAATAGTATTTTTAATTTAATATTGCCATTAATTTATACGAGTATTATGACGACTACCACCTCCTTCAATTAATAAAGAACACGTTGCGTCTTATCCAAAGTAATTAATAAAATTTATTGGTTATTAGGAATTTACTTCCGATGATATTTACATATACATGTTTTGCACATAGAATTTTATGTGTGATTGAATTGTATCGAATGCTTCCTTATGGCTATTGGGGTTTGCTCACGTAAGGTCATTTATTGATTACGAATTTCCACCCGTTCTTTTATTTTCCCGCTTTACTAAATGAAGTGGACCCATAATTCTTAGATAGCTTTTTGTTGGAAGCCCTTTCTGCGTCTAAATACATGGAGTTTTAGGTCATGTATACCTTCAGAACATGAGCCAATGTTCTAGCGTAAAGATAGAACAATGTAACTGACATGGGAGCAGTGACTTCTTCAGAATGATCTAACTTAATTTTTATTTATTGATATTTAAAAACAACAAAATTTTATATGAAAAAACATAAATTTTTAAATGATTAATAATAATATACTTAGAAACAAAAAAAAACTAAATTTAAATTTAGATATATGACATAATAATTGGTAGATGTATGGGCATACACACATATTATGTTTATGCTTACAGTACATCGGACATTATTATACAGTACTTATGGTGTCAAATATTTTTTTAAATAACACCAGCGGATCCGACAGACGTCCTGTACACAGGAATTAAGTAAAAAATATCAACTAATTGTAAATCTAAACGATTCTACTCACACATAATAATTCATCAAAATCAGTTTAATGATTTGATTACAATTCTTCTATCCGTAATATATTTGGAAGCATTATACTAACATGCTTTTTTTATTATATATATTTTTCTAAACATAAACCTTGCTTAAACTTACACAAATATTTCAAGATCAAAATTAGGCAAATCGGCCTAGACATTCTCGTGAAAAAGGAAATGAACAGCAATTCATTTTTATATAATAAATATATAATAATCATCACAGTGTGCAAAAATGATGAATTTATTAAGCAGATACCAGAGTAATAATAAGTTAAATTGAATTTGGCCATTTAAGAAATAAATCGAGGCCATCACATCTTATAACGTATGATATTTCGTTTTGATTTCGTTAATGAAAAACGATATCTTCCGACTTTGGCTTTACTTATAAAGTTAAAGTTATTTTAATGTACCTTATGTTAAGTGATACCGCCCATGGACACTCACATTGCCAGAAGGCTCCCAAATGCGTTGCCAGCCGTTTAAGAATTGGTACGCTCTTTTTTGAAGACCCTGTGGTTCCTCATAGTGGTGGCGGTAAAAACTGCGTTAACAAACGCTCACTACTTGAACTACGGACGGTGAGGTGATACGCTTGGTATTTTGAATTCTGCCTCGACGTCCGATGATGGAATTCAGTTTCTATTGTGATGAGCTCTGTGAATGTAATTTAGTTATTTTATACAGATAGTCAAGCTATTTAAGATCCCTGATATTGAATAACGAATTGTGGTCTTAAGTAAGTTCTTCAAGTAAAATATTTTAACAAAACAATAAACAAAACTCGGAAAAACATCTAAAGACGAGTAGTACGGGCAGCATTGTCGCTTATAAGCAAGGCAATTCGCTAAAAGAGAGCTAACAGTAACACATAGCAAAAAGAACAAAAGAAATACAACAGAGAAATAAACATCTTAATCATAATATCTTAACTAGACAAAATATTTGATATAACATTATCTATTTAATTATAATTTATCTCCATAACATTATGTGCGTGGGCTGTGTAATAATTTTTCGCTCGTAAAGTTTAATTCATACAAATTATAGCCGCAAGTGATAGATAACTTTTATTACTTTAGTACTATGATTATTTTATATGACAAGGTGTGATGTTACTGTTTTAAATTGCTTTGACTTAGATAGATTTAGGTTAAGTGTCTCAACACAAAGAGTAAAATAATTGTTAGTTATAGTCCAAAACTACTGCACTGATATGAAAAATACTTTATTCACCATACGAATCCTACATTATCTCTCATGAACATAGGCTATAGAATATTTTCAAAAAAGTTAGGCATACGTATGAAAACTTTGATAATGTGAGAAAAATTACCTAGAAAAATATCTATAGGGAGAAATCCATTGACAATAGAGCAAAGTGATGTACTACAGTTTTATAGAAAACATCAATATCTACACAAAAGTATGTGTATGACACTTCTTTATAATAAAAATCCTTTTTAGTAAATTAGGTTAGACATAAATTATTTATTAGTCTTAAATTAGGCTAGATCGTAATGTTCCATGATGTCTTAGTGTAATTAATTAGTAAAAAATATGTATTTTTTATGTTTTAAATAAAATAAATGTTCAGTTGTGTGAAGTCTAGTCGCTAGTCTAGAAATTAATAATTATTTATACAAATCTGTTAAATTAAACTTTAATGTAGTTTTAAGATTAGGATATCGCAGGTCTAACCCACACTAGTTAAATTTTACAGTTAAAAACATGGAAACGTTAATTATTGACAATTTTCAAGTCCCAATCCATCAATAGCCTTGTTCAAACGTGTCGCCATTAAGCAGCATTGAATGCGTCTAAAATAGTCGAGCCAAGGCAACACTGATAAGGCATCTCGCTATTCAACATTCAAGATGGGATATGGTAGTACATGTGCCGGCAGGTTTATTACCAACGCAACCGGTGGCATGTCCCACAATCCTAATACTTTTGGTTATAAGGAAGATTGTTTAAAATACCTATTAATATTAATAATAAAAGCCTTTATTACTACTTAAACTAGTACATAGAAATGTGAAGTACTAATAAATTAACACTAATAATAATTAATCGGCAAGCCGGTTAATTTCTGTTTTACAGCTTGTCCTGGGACATAGACCTCTAAGAGCTTCCACTCTTCTCTGTTTTTAGGTTTAATTAGCCAGATAGGGCCAGCTGTTCTTCGCACATCATCTTCCTATCTTTTTAATTGTCTTCCTCATTTTCTTTTGTTATAATGCGAAAGCTATTCCGTCACTTTCTTCGTCCATTTATCTTTATCTTCTCTCATAATGTGTCCTGTCCAATTCCATTTCAATCTTTTACTAGAAGTAACAGAATTTCTAAACCTTTTCATGTCCTTTATTGCTTCTAGTTTTTCTCAATTTCAGACCTAGAACACTCCTTTAGATACTATTCTGACATACTCTTAGTTTGTTTTCTTGTTTATCAGTGAGTGACCAGGTTTGATCGTATATCAGGCGCGGTAATATACAGGCATCAAATACTTTTCTCTTGTAAAACATTTTCAAGTTTCTGTTTTTCATGACTTTTGACAGTGACCAGTATCTTTTTAATCAGCTATATAAAAGGCACGCCAATGTCATATTAATTATCATAATGTCATAATAATAATAAGTTTATTTATAATTGCTATAATGGGCTATCAATGTGCAAGAATTATAATAATAATATAGCCCGTTTATTTCCAGACAAAACACTTTAACAATGCAATAGTGGAGACATTATAAATGGTTAATAAATTTCATCAGTAGATCAGCGTTTCCTTCGGAACACCGGAAACGGCGTTCGATGCTCTAGTTTTTGATGCCTGCACCTGCGTCTTCCTTTTCTTCATTATGTCTAAACTGTTTTCATATAAGATACATGGCCGTCGCATTAATGAGGTCTAATAATTTCGCTTCATATATGTAAAGTTGTTTAAATTCTTCTTAGTCACTTACATGGACGGTTTCAGGGATAGGTCTACGTCTGTTACTCTGCAGAGAGAGTGTTGAGAGATTGTTGTTCGCATTTCTATTCTTACCAGTGTTTGCTTAGTGGCTTCAGCGTGCGACTCTCATACCTGAGGTTGTAGGTTCGATCTCCTGTTCATTAATGGGCTTTCTTTCTAAGTGCGCATTTAACATTCGCTAGAACGGTGAAGGAAAACAACGTGAGGAAACCGGCATGCCTTAAACCCAAAACGTCGACGGCGTGTGTCA